AAGGGACATGAGTTCCTTCAAGGTTGCAAATACGCCTTGCTGACGAGTACCAACTAGCACGAAACCTAGGTCAGGCTAGGCTTCCTGCCGATTGCCTTCAACCATCTAATATCACCACTTCATAACACACTTAGATAATATCAGTACTAACAATAGGAGTAATAATAAGAACAAGTTCGATTTTATATCCGTAAGAGATGGAAGGGAGTTTAAAATAAATTTCAGAATACAAAACAACAGAGGACTTGGTGTATAACTGTGCTAATGGCATGAGATAATTATGCTTCATGCTGTTAGTTCAACAACAATAAGTATATAACAACAAGTCATATGATGAGGATCCATTTTAGAACGGATATACAAATATATATATATATATACATATGGATATTCTTAAAGAGTTAATTATTATATTGGTGACTTTTTAATTGTGAATGTTGTCCTCCACCAAAGTTATCACAAACTGTCACATGTATTGGTTAATCATAAACTAATGTAAATAATACTAATTTATATGAATAACCATGTGATTGTCATTTTAAAAGTATCGTTCAACAAAGTACATTGATTGGTCACGAATAATAATCGGGAGTAACCAATATATCATACTTATATTAGTTCTTTGCCTTGACTTTCACTGAATTTGTATCGATCAAGTTTGCTATATGGTCACTAGACTAGGTGACTTAGCATCTCAGGTGTTGTTGAGTCGTTTAAGCCTGTCGTCAGGGTCTTTTGGATCTAGATTCCCTGCTCCTTGACACTCACCAGCAAACCAAACTGATAAAATTCAGTCAACACTCCCTTATGAGTTATCAATGCATCTAGCATATTCCTATAAGAGGTCTGTCGTGAGGTTAAATAGCTTAAATCTCTGACTACTGCACAAAGGGTGATGTGGGTTCCAATCTCCCAGGAGGCATCAATTCTTTCAAGGTTGCAGATGTGCCTTATTGACGAGTACTGACAAATATGGAATCTAGGTTCAGGGCATCCTGCCGATTTGCATGATGAGCTGTGGTTGACAGGTAACAGACTGAAACCATGCCTCATCCTCTAAGATTTGGGACCTATCACAGTAATCTGCGTATAGTCGCTGAACTCTATTTGATGTTAATAGGAAGCAGTTTAAAGCAGTAGGCATTTTGTCATCGAATTTCATTATCTTTTTCTTACCTTGGCCTGGGCCAATCACCAGCCAATTAGAGCAATCTATTTTTCACGGCCTCAGGCAAATTTTAATTTGGTTAAAAATTATATGAATAAGACGTGTTTTTTTTCCTCAAAAATTATTGCAGCACCCTAACACAAGTCGCAAGTCAGTTTTTTTCTTATGATATTTACCGTGGCTCAGTGAAGCGAAAGGGGTGGTACTAGGGACGAATAGGTATATTTAGCAAATCAGTTGAATTGTTCATTGCATCATTATTACTATACCCATGCATAAATCCACTCAGTCATAACACAACTATCGACGAGTTCATTTCAACTGGAGACATAAAACATAGCATATGTCCAGCTTATTACAAGTTGTTAAAAAAACATTCATCCTTTATTTATCCTGTTTCTTTTTCTGATCGTAAACATATCTCAGTAAAGAATGATAAAATCTCGCTGGTTTTTATTCAGTAATCTTGCAGATGAAAGTTTATCATACCGGTATTGCTAATTTTGGATGTATATAGTCCACTGGTTGAAGGTGTGACATGACGGGATGTTAGTGCTTTGTGGTTGTCGTCTAAGTTGACTAGAATGCACAACCAGACCACCTGATCACTTAAAAATATTCCCCACATTGAGAGGAATACAAAAGTGACGTCTTATTATTACAGGATATATATAGTTTATAAATCCTCGGGAATTCAAGCCATAAATAAGTAGTGACTATCTGATTAGTCGCATGACCTTGAAAACCCTCGGAAACTCGAGCCAAAAATAAACCAATAGACAGCTGTCCAGTCAGATAATCATGTCAACGCATGCATCAATCATGACTTCACGGTGGTTAACAACGATAGGTGTAAAATTTCCGAAATAGGATGAAATAGTTTTCCTGTTTTACTTATTTTCTTCATTTTTTTTGCGTTCTGAGTCGAACATTGGGCTTAAAGGTGTTTGAAGTTTCAATAGTGTTGTTTGTTTACGGATTGAATTCGTTAGTCTCACGCCAACCCCTCCCCCTGTTTCCCGGACATATCAATGTCTAGTAAGCTATACGGGGTGTAGTGATTGATAATTCCCTCTGCTCATTGTTTGGGAGTCGATGAGATCATCTCCATTTGACAACACAAGGGAGTAAGTCTGTCTAAAGCCAGTGAATGGAACCAGTTATACAGACTAACGAATAACACATACATAGATAAAGTTACAATGTATATGTTCTGATCCAGAGAGACTCTAAACTATTCCAATATTATGGATCAAAAGTTGGTCTAGGCAAAGATTATTGCTTTCAGTTTAGAACATTTTATTCCTTTGCATTCCGAGTGGAACATAAAGCTTCAAGTTTCAGTAGCAGTGGTGTTTATATTTTTTTACGAGTTGAGGTTGCTAGCTAGCATCCTGTCCAACCTTTTCTCTTTCCTCTGGGCCTATTACCGGCTAGGTGAGGTTGAGAAATGCGTCCAGCAGGGAACCGAACTTGGACCATGTACATGGTTGGCCGGCATTCTCTCCCTGATTCACCAGAGCTTGAAACTAATCTGATTGTAAATTTGTACGTCGGTGGCACAGCGGTTAGGACGCTCGCCGACCATGCACATGGTCCGGGGTTCGATGCCCGGCCGATGCACTCCTTTACGTCGCTAAGCCAGTAATAAAAGCTGGTAAGGAGGAAAGGTTGAGTATGAGGCTAGCAACCCCATCCTTTAAAAAAAAACACTGCTACGGAAGCTTCAAGCCTCTAGCTTGAAGCCCTATGTTTCACTGGGAACGTGAAGGAATAAAAAAATCATATTCTACGTATCCTTTGTACAGTTGGCTATGATTATATTTTATTGTACAGTTAGCACCTGAAGAGAGTTTACTGGAAATGGTATTCTTCGTTCAGGCTAATTTTTAACTGAGCAATTTTTGATGGGAAAACTAATATTTAAGTAGAAAATAACACTATTAGACGAATTAATTTACTATGTTTGTAGTGATTTATTTGACTTTGATTGAAACGTCGTTACATACCAACATCTGATAGTGTCATTAAAAATAAAAAAACACCTTACATTTGGTCTATAGACATTGTTCTCGATTCCTTAGCGTTTCGAGTGGAGCACAGGGCTTCAAACTTCAATTTTGAAGTTTCATGAACAGTGGTGTGTCATTTTACAGGATGAAGTTTCCAGCTTCATGCAAAACCTTACCTCTTTTCATGGATTATTATTGGCCTATAAATTAGGTGGGATTCAGGAGACTGTCGGCAGCAAATCGAACCCCAGACCACATGCATGCATGGTAAGCGAGCATTTTACCCTCGAACCACGGAAGCACTATCTATAGGCATACTTTTTTATATTATTGGCAACCTTTGGGCTATTTAAATAGGAAGTTCCCACTCAATAGGATCTATCAATTTGAAACTAGGAAAATTTAGTAAAGAGTAGTATTTGATAACATTTTACCACAAGACCATGGAAGTTGACAAATGCAGACCATCAGAAAATATCATATCATATTATTTAAACGGTGATATGTCGGTCGAAAGATTTGATGAAAGGCCCAAGCTCTGTCTTTCTCAAGAGTTTCTGAGTCCACAATTTCGAAACAGTCGAAGCCGTAAAAGGACATCTATCTATCCACCATTTCTTCATTTTCAAATAGTCCTATCCCTGTCGTAGTTGATTTCAGTTTTGGTTTTTACGAGTTGATCACGGATTGATATCAGATAGAGAACCATTGAAAACCAGCACTGGAGTCCTGGAGAGCTGTTTCATCTTAGTTTGGTAATCATCGCCAGTACGCACCCACTGCCAGGGTTTGAACACAGGACTTTCCGGTTACAAGGCAAGCTCGATGACGATCATTCAGCCACTGGGACCCGATTCAATGGCTAGCCCATGAATTCTAACTTCTACCAATTCGTGATTTAGCGCGACCACAAACCAATGTTGTCGGTGGGACATCCAACCACACACTTGTCTGGTTGAGCTTCACTAGTTACGACTTCTCACTAGAACTCCAGGAAACTCTCTCTTGTAGCAAGTCACTAGCGAGCATCGGATTAATTTTCGAGCTTGTCTTGTAACCGGAAGGTGCTGGGTTCGAACCCTGGCGGTAGGTGCATACTGCCGATGATTCCCAAAAAACTAGGATGAAACAGCTGGCCGTTCAGTACTCCAGTGCTGGTTTTCAATGGTTTTCCAACTGATATCAATCCGTGATCAACTCGTAAAAACAAATCTAATCCTTACAAACCAACTAACTATTCAGTTTTTGTGTCGTGAAAAAATAAACAACATAATTTGAAAGTAAATAATAAACTAGTTGATTCTTGTCACTGTTATTTATTGATTTTTTCATTCCTGTGTGCTGGGTGGAACATTAGACGGGCTTCAAACTTGAGGTTTGAAGTTACATTAGCGGTGTAGGGGTATGTATCTATATATAATTCCAAGCCCAACTTTTCCTCTTCTCGCCTTGATTACTATTGGCTAGGGGAAGTTTAGTAGGAGTGTGTAGGTGTGTTATAATACAATATGAAGTTTTAAACATATTACTTTTGTTTTCCAGACTGGTGGTATTCGTGATATTGTTCAAAACCACAACAGCAACAGCAGCAACAACAACAACAACCACACCAATAATCACCAACAGATGACGTAATCACCAAAATCAGAGAGGTCATTGTATTCTACCAACAAGCGCGATGAAGGCAAATTTGTACATACATATATATGTATACTCCCTAACTAACACGGCCACCGTTTGATTCACTTTTTTCTCTGTCGAATCACAGTAAAAACAAACTTTTTTTAAAAAAAAGAAATTATGAAAAATACAATTTTTCACGACATAACAACTTCATTATATTTATTTTTATCATTATCATTATTATTATTATCAATTAGGTGATTCGTTGATATACATACATAGGCATATATAAAGGTGGACAAACAGGTAATAACCAAACAAAACAAAACAAAACAACAACAACAAAAGAAAACAGGAGAGAAAAAAGCAAGAGAAAACAACAACAACAACAACAAAAAAGAACCTGAGCACTGACACACACAGTTAACAATCACTAAGAAAAAGAGAAAATATGTGCATAACGTATAAAATTATTAGGGACAGGAAAGCAAGCTTCATATTGCCTTTTTATCTCCTCCTCCCCTTCACCCATAGTCTGACTGTCTAGCCTAGCCTGCACCTGCTTGTCTGATCATACTCAAAAAGAGCCTAGAATGTTACAAAATAAGACAAGATAAGACAAGACAACAGAATATGCCTTCTGTTGAATTACTATTTTTAATTAGAATACAAAAATATATATGGCTGTCAATATGTTAATGCGACACAGAGAAAGAGAAGGAAAGGAAGGGAGAGTGTTCCTTATTTTGTCATAGCTGACGGAAACACCTGTCAATAGGTTCATTAATAAATAGCCTTATTTCTATTTATCATTATAAATTACTACTACTACTGCAAGTTAAGGAGTACAAAATATAAGAGTACGCCGGGGATAGATGGCGGATGGACGGATGGGTGAGGTGAATTGGAGGCTTTAGTGGCGGTAGTCAATCAGTTAATCAGCAGGAGAGAGTGGAACTATAGAGAAAGAACAAGGCGTGTGTATATGTGAGGGTGTGGGTGTGAGTGTGTTAATTTCTTCATTTAAAGGAACAAAAAATAATTAAATATAAAGTCTATTCTCATTGTTGTCTGTTAATACAATCATTAATAATAATAATATTAATAATTTAAAAGCCAAAAAGTATCCAAAATGAAACAATAAAAACTATGCATAATACAAATAGATAAAGAAAGACGGGAGGAAATCAGCCAGCAAATAAGCAAGTAAGCAAGTAAATAAGAAAGGAAGTTAAAATGGCTAGAGATTGCGCTTTCACTTTCACACTTTCCCCCTGGAAAAATGTGAAGGAAAGTGCGTTTTGCTTTTGTTTTTCCGACAATCTCAATCCTCCTGAGTGTACTTACTACATGAATATACAAACACAAATATCCCTGGGAGAGGAGGGAAATCACACCAATAGCAACACCAGTAATAATAATAACAATAATAATAGTAATAATAAAATTCGTTGAGATTTGGAATTGGATTTTCAATATTTAAAAAAAAACACAAATATAGATATAATTACCTAGTTGTTGTTGTTTTGTGTTTTTTAATTTTTAATAATTAAATTCGTTCAGTAGAAAAAGAGGAAAAAAAAGGGGAGAAAGAAAGAAATTTTTTTCATTGTTGATAAAACTGAGAATGATTGAAACACTAATAAAAAAACGAAAAACAGGATACACTTCAAACATGACTAGAATATCACAACATATCAATGAAAAACACAAACACAGTTTTATATGCATATAAATATAAATAAATAAATATTATAATCATAATAAAGTGTAACAAAAGAGTGGTACTCATTCCTCATTGTCTCATAGAAAACCAGCAATGTAATATATCATACAACTAGGCTAATGGAATGCAATGTGAAATGAAGAACTCAAACAAATAATAAAGAGGATTAGAACTATTGAAAAAAGAATGGGCGGGGGGTTGGCAAGTGGGCCCATACACCCCAAATCAAAGGGTATGTATATCAAAGTTCAAATACTTTTTGAGACAATTTCAATCTAGCTGTCTGTAAATCTGACAATGTTTCAGTATATGTAGTTGTTTGTAATAAAGGCTCTGAAATATCCTTCGGTGTAAGAGTTGAACGTACAGGTGTTGTTTGTGTTAGGTGAAGTTTACCTGTCCGTAATATTGTAGAATCATTATTACTATTATTATTATTATTATTACTGAATAATTTTTGTTTTGCAGTAGTTACAATCGATTGAGAATTATTTACTACGGGGACATTTGATTGTGTCTTACCAGTAAGAGTATTATTATTATTATCTTTTGATTTACGCTTTAGTGTATTTATAACAGCAGCAGCATCATTCAAAGAACACATTGATCCTTCATAGGTCATTCTCTCAAGACGTGGTTCTGAAATCAAACTGGCTGTACCATTCAGCATTTCATTGGGTTCTTTAGAATGAGGATGATGATATAATTTTGTATTAGTTTTATGTACAATTTGATCACTTATTTTAGGATATTTTGGATAGATAATTTGTGTTGGTTTTATCTCTGGTACAACAATTCCATTTTGATCTAATAAACATACCAAATGAAATAATAGGGAAAATATAGGTTAAAATTATCAAACAGAAAAGGGTAACTTTATATTTTAGCGATTCAAACGAACCAACAACCGCCATAATGACCTTGGCGGATTTTTATCAACCAATCAAATGAGCCAAAAGTAAAAGCGCGCAATTCGAATTTTTCATAGAAATGTATTTTTGATAAAGGTAGTAACTTCTAGTATGTTTTCCGAGAAGACCTCACATTTCCTTATTGTAATCTTTATCGATAGGCCAAAACCAATTTCTGTGTATAAATTAATTCCTGTTTCGTGACACATTTACTGCTCTAATCCTTTTTTTAAGTGACTCTATAATTCTTCGATGGAATTTTTGTGTCCGGTTGAAAAGAGTAACAAAATCATTAGTATGACTAACGACGTTGGGAATATAGCTGAGAGATGAGGCTTGGCCGTAGCTACTCCATTGATCTGTGTGTATATAGTTATACCTGGTCGCACTAAACGTTGGATAATAGGTAATAAAACATTAGCGCTACGGTCGGGTGTTGTATCCATCTATCCTTTCTGAAATGTTGTGTCATACAAGCCCAGAATCCATTCCTGATTGGTACTCAATCTACCACAATTATATTTCCATTTTATAAGCACTGTTTTGTCTCGAAATGCGTCGGTGGTACAACGGTTAGGGTAATCTTAGCTGACATGGGGTCAGGCTGGAAAAGAGCTAGCAGCGGTCAAACCAAAACATGACTCCATCAGTCAATGAAATCCACAACAGTCAGTTTGAGCCACGTAGGAAGGTGTAGCCTTCCTGGTTGGGGTCCTCGGGACGTTAAAAACCAATGGCTGGAAACCATCGGCGATTTGGCTCAAAATCCTTCTCAATGGCTGGCACAGATGCATCCACCCCTTATGACTTATAATTTCCAATGAAATTATATTATTCTTCGTTATTGCTATGGCAGGCCAGCTGGCCAGAAAGAATTAGCAAGAAGAAACTGTAGCTGGGAACAAACCGACCAAGAGCCGGTTGGTCAACAAATATGTAGGGGAAAATGGAGATGGACCGAGCATACGTTGAGGAGGCCGTCGAATGACACCGCACGCAATGCATGCCATCGTTTGAGTGAAATCCCAATGGAAAGCGACGAGTGGGTCATCAGTGCGACGGTGACATGGATGAGATCGTGTGTCGAGTAGGCGGAGATCAGAGATTATGGGCAATCGTGGACGCAGCTGAAGATGACGACAGAGAATACAACAGTGAAGATGTGTTGTTGAAGCCCTATGTTCCACTCGGAACCCAAGGGAATAATAATAATACATAAGAGTCACCAGTGAAACATTGATTGCATAAGCAACAAGTAAAGTTGGTTTCAAATTCAGAAAACTGATTGAGAAAACAATTTGTATTCGTTGTTCTTTATTACTGATAATATACATGTAAATTGCATGAACGTGGGATAGGTGGTTTAGTGGTAGAATACTCGCTAAGCACGCCTCATGTGGTCCATGGTTCGATCTCCGGTCGATGCATACCTAACACCTCTCCCCGTTAAGCTATATCAGTAAGCCTAGTAAAGAAGGAAGGTTGGGCATGAGGCTAGCAACCCAGTCCCTTAAAAAACAAACACCAGTGCTACTGAAACCTAAAAAGCCCAAGTTTGAAGCCCTATGTTCCACTCGGAACGCAAATAGCTAACTAGTAATATCTCCACCAGAAGTATCAGATGATGTGGGTTCAAATCTTTGAAGGAAACACCAGTTTTCTCAAGGTTGCTGACAACTGTCAGCAAGTAGAAAACCATGGTCTAGGGCGGTCCTATTGGCTGCATCTAACTATCTATCATCAATTCTGTGTATCTTTTATTCAAATAACAAAGTCCTTCGTTTGTATAAACTGAACTCATTATAGAATTTAACTTGTAGCCTATAAGATGGAATTATCAAAAGCGTCATTAAAGTACTATTGAGACGTTTTGACAACATAGAATAAAGTGATTGATCTAGTACTATTCCCTTGGGTTCCAGGTAGAATAAAGGGCTCCAACAACATTTCGTCATCTTCGACTGGCTGCACCATTTCCGAGTTGAAGACATGAAAAGGTTCACTGTTTTTGATGATAGATGTCTACGATCTCTTTCTCACATTAGGTGGCATAATAAGGTAAGTAATGTTCACGTTAGGCGTAGAGTGTTGGGCAAAGAGGGAAAATCAATCGAAGAGGCTATAATGTTACATAGATTGAGATGGCTAGGTCACGTGCCGCGCATGCCTAACCATCACCTCCCCCGACGGTTATTACTGGTTGATATAGGTGCAGGTTGGAAAAGTGTAAGTGGTGGCCAAACAAAAACATGGCATCAATCCATGAAATCCCTGACAGTTAAACTGAGTCAGGTAGGGATATGCAGACTTCCAGGTTGGGGCCTTCGGGACTCTAAGAAACAATGGCTGGAGACAACAGGTGACATGACTCTAAATCGTTGTCATTGGTGCAGATGTATTCAGTATCTGTAATCTTTCATATTCCTTTCTACCATTACTCATTCTGTTTCACTCTTATACTTGTCAAAACTCTATTGATTCTTTTCACTCATTTTCTTGTCTACCTTTACGTGCTCTTTAGAACGTGGCAACTCGAACTGCTGCACTTCAGTGCCAAGTTCTATGTTGAATCCAGCCAGCCAGCACCACTTCCGATAAGCTTTCATCTCCTCCTCACACGATCTCCCCCATATCACTCATGCAACAAGCTCAACTCGTTATTTCGCATTCAGGTTCCAATCGAGCGATGGACCGGTGCGCAATATAATACGATAGTCTCCTCAGTATATGCCCAATCCATTCCTATTTTCTTCTACATGTTTCTTGAGCAGTAAGGTCCTTGGTTGTTTTGTTCCCAGCCAGAGTTTCTTGTTTCTAACTCATTCTAGCCATTTGATCTTCAATATGGAGTCAGCGAAGGAGGCAGTTGTTGACAAAAGTCTACAATAGCCTGTTCGAAATGCTTCTCATGACCCACACACCGTACAAGTCTCTGACCCATACAAAAGAGCTGATTGACTTAACACTGGTGTTGAAAATCTGAAAATCTTGTTCTTTATGCTGGCTGAGTTCAGTGCAAAAGATTTCCAAATCAATTTCAGAGTAATATGAATGTCTGCTTTGTCTTTCCCATTCTCGTTTTGACATCATCCTTCCTTCATCCATGACTCCGCCTGTAGTTGAATAAAACAATCTGTCCGAATCTCAGGGAAATTTCAATGCTTAACTTTATGTTGAAATGTAGTGTGTAGTTAACAAGAATGATTTACGAAATTCCAGTTTAGCGTCTAAAAAAAGAAAGTAATCCCACTAGACTAACATCGATTAGACAGAAGTGAATATAAGAGCTAATTAACATTACAATATATATATAGAAAAGGATAAGAAAATCTGTGTTTTGTTCTAAGTTATTCTAAGCTAGGCGCTCAGCGATCAAACATTTGTCTCATAAATTAATCCCTGATGGGGCTGCTGGAAAGTCGAAAGCTAGGACAGAACATTTGTCTAGCCGTCTTTTGCTATCGGATGGTCATCTAACCAATGTACGCAGCAACCTTTGAACATTTTACAAAATAAGAAACAATGTTCACGGTCACATGCACTAGGAGGAGACCAATTTAGCAATTTCCCTATGGACTGTCTTTAATTTATATCCCAACAATTAATAAGTAAATGAATTTTTTATTCTTAATAATCGCTTCATTAGAAGATAAATTATATGAACGAAGACATCGTCTGAGGACATTCGTCAGCTTCATTTACTTGAAGGTTATTCCTCGTTGATAAAAATATCAATTATGGAGCCACTGAACTCAAATTGCCATCGCAAGACATAAGTTTTGAAGAGTATCTTCAGTACTCTAATGAGAAACAGTTTGTCGTATCCAAATTAAGGGTAAGATAACGTCATCTTGTGATAGAAACCTGTCAGGTTTAATCATGAGTTGACATTAATTAGAGAACTATTGTAGAACCCAGGAGTATTGTAGTGTACCGATGACAGCTATTTCGTCCCAGCTGGCGACTCTTCATCAGTGCCCACTCACACACCACAGGGGTTCGAAACCACGACCTTCCTGTAACGGGGCGAAGTCGTAGACCATTCACTCACCGGGACCCGATTCATTGACCCAAGAATTCCAAATCTTGCCGATTCGCGATATATATAGCACAACTGCCGGTCAATTTCATGGACGAATTACTATTCTCGTACCTGACTTGGTGCCTGAGTGGCACACGGACCTGTCTTGTAACCGGAAGACTCTGGGTTCGAACCCACAATGGGTTCATACTGTCGAAGGGTCTCACACTAGGATGAAGCAGTTGTCATTGGTACAGTGCAGTAATCCTGGGCCTTCCAATAGTTCTCCAACTGATGTCAACTGGTGATCAAATTTATAACCGACCAAATCAAGTGCAAACCAACCATCATAAAATTTGCCGACCGACAGCTGCTACCTGAACGCGATGATCAGGACTGCGAATATACAATGACTCAGCTGACTACACTGGCTGGAATGAGTGTTCCTGCAGATCCAACTGTGCCAGAAGGGTCCTTTGGATAGCGGGTGGACTTAAAGCAGTTATCATCACAGTGAAAGTCATTTAAATTATGTTGGGGGGTCTGTGGATGAAGCGGTAATGCTACAGAATAAGGATGCGGCATAAGTTAGGTGTTTTCCCAAGATAATGAGCAAGCCCACTATACTGTCCCTCTACTCTGGGTAACGCACAGGGTGGGTAAACTCCATAGATTCAATAATTCGATTTAGTACGACCACATATTATTCCCTAGCCCTTCTTAAGCCAAAAACATTCTTCTAAAAAAGCGATGCTTCAGTAGATACAATATATGATAGTGAGACTATCTAAAATAGCCTTGGATTGGTACGCTGTTATTAATATAATTAGTGATGATTGAAGGTGACGTGAGTATCATAGTCGCAGAAGGCTTCTAAACATCGGCCTCCAATTTACTAGCTCGGCGGTCTATCAGTTAAGCTACGAGACCCAACCTTTAATCAGGTCATCACTTCGCTGTTATCACCACAGGTACTGCCAAGATTTAACAGGAAACTTGTGTAATGGTAAATGGACATCAATGTATCATCCATTCACACAACAACTAGGCACTATCCATCGTGATTTCAGCGAAATGATTATCCACTTGGAATTTTGGTTTCGTAACTCAGCTGATACGGTGTCGGACTACTAATCCGGAGGCCACTGGTTCGAATCCGGACGCCAGATAGATTTTTTCACTTCACCATCAATCATTGCTGATCAAATCCAAACAGACACATAAACGTAAATCAGAAATTCAGAAGATAAAACAAGACCATGCTCATCAGTGGTTTGGCGGTAGGATGCTCCACAACCAGGGATGTGGCAGGGGATCCGATTCACAGCCGACTCACTCCTAAACCTCTCTTGGCTGGCAGTAAACCCGCCAACTCTACTGAAAATTCAAGGCCTCGAGCTTGAAGCCGTATGTTCCATTTGGGACGCAAAGGAATGAAAAAGAACACGTACCAGGTTTAGAAACTAGATTTGTTGTCGCTTTCTGTGGTTCTCGGTGAATATGCTTGTTTGTTGCCGCTGTTGTGGTGGTTTTTGCTGTTGCTGCTGCTGTTTCGGAACCGACAAACACGGTGTTGCTTGGTATGCCATGTTTATATGCGCCTGTTTTGCCACCAACTCCGGATAATAATTTATTTGACGTTGGTACTTCAAAGCTGACTGATTTCGTGTTTGACTTGACTGCTTTGTGCGTATCTCCGTTTGATAGTTTACCGCTGGACTTATAATTGTTGGGGTAGCCGTTTGTTCGCCCATTGATGACGACGGTCTGTCCATCATCCATTGTTTCTTGTGCATCGGTTGTTGTTGTTGTTGTATAGGCAAGTAAGGGATAGGGGTTTCTGAATTTGTTACTTTCTTTGGCTGACTTTTTGGTCTTACTGGTACGTCTGGAAAATAAAAGGTGAAAAAAACATGCAGAACGATATATGTGAGTACAGCTCAAGAGTTGATCTACCCTTTCGATATTTCTTTTATTCATGCAGAATCAAAAGTACTCAACACAATGTTTGCAAAGAACAACAAAAGTAAAACACAGTTGGAAGAATGATCAATTTGTAGAATACTCTGATATGAATTATATCTGGCATCTTTTTAAAATATCTAGAAATTAATGCTCACCACAGAAGTATGTATGCTCAAGAAAACTGTCGCCTAAACAGGTCGATTTAAAAATTAACTACAAAAGGAATTGCATGTTTTTCTAAACGTAGGAAAGTACCCGTATTTATCTGAATTTGTATATAAGGCTAGTTAGACAGCTGGCGTCGGTGGCATAGCGGTTAGGACGCTCGCCGACCATGCATATGGTCCGGAGTTCGATCCCCGGCCACCGACGCACTCCTTTACCTCGCTAAGCCAGGAAATAATGGTGGTGAAGGGGAAAGGTTGGGCATGAGGCTAGCAACCCCAATCCTGTAAAATAAACACTGCTACAGAAACTTCAAGCCAGTAGCTTGAAGCCCTATGTTCCACTGGGGAAAGTGAAGGAAAAAAAAGACAGCTGATAGAATCAAACACCAGTTAGAATCTATGCCGTGAATAATTCGCCTAATGCGGACAAACCTTGTCAGGTGATAAGTAACATGTTACCCATACCTGAAGTCACCAGTGTACGAGCCAAAATCAGATACATCAGAAGGATAGAAGAGAACAAAGCGTTAGGTTTACTGAAGAGATTCCCATATAAACTTGATATTCAGAGGATTATAAGACGTAAACAGTTCAACAGCAGAGTTTCGACTCATCAGTATACGTCAAAAATGTAACGCTGCACATTCATTTGCGAATAATCAATTGGCAAAATCTGCCACAATGATGATTACAAGAAGATTAAGCTTCAATTTCCAAAGTTTTATGCGAAATTCTCTTTTGTCATTATCGAATATTCATAAACTTTGCTTTCCCTCACTTATTCTCACCACTTTATAAGGATGTTTTAATCCTAATAAAGACTATATACTTAGAGATAGTATTACGTTGCACAGGCAGGAGGTTCGTTGAAAGAACACTCAAAACAAAAAAGTTACATAACAGTTTCCAAAACAGATGGATGCTGACACGTAACACTAAGAATAAATCGTCAGTGATGACCACATGAACGCATGTGTACATATTTAACTGCTCCGTCGTCTTTCTAACTATTCCCTAGTGTTTAATTGGTGGATGGTGACTAGCAGTGGAATCCAGAATGTGCATTTCGTCCTATTTGGTACTCGTCATCTGGATGCTTGAAAATATGGGCACTGGGTTCGTGCCTCGGTGGGAACATCATCATTCACTGGGGAATACAGATACATCCAGCCGACGTGTCCCAAATAGGACGAAATGTGCATCCTGAATTCCACTGCTAGTCACCATTCGCCAATTAAATTCTAATTACATGCCCAGACATCGTCGAAGCATCTTCAGAAGGAGCCGACATGTCAACCTGAGACCGAGCACTTCGGTCCAATCAATCGTTGGGAAGGTCTAAAATTCAATTAAATATTCCCTAGTGTGATTAAAAAGAAGATTAAGTCAGTTAATGGTCTACTCTTGTCCTTTTTTAAGTAAAAGTTAAACATCATATGGAAACAGAAGAAGAAGAAGCATCTGAGGGAATCTGTCGAGTACCTAAAGCTATACACTTACATCTCTTATATCTCACAAAGTACCATCTGCTTGACAGACACCATAAACAATAAACAAATATGTTGCATACTATTGATTTATGATGTGAGTAGTTGAAAGCCACTCACTTTAAATATTAGTACTTGCTAGTCATATAGAAGTGATCTAAACATAGGATGTCCGTTGTTCTAATAAGTTCCGTTCCAAGTAGGACACAGGGCTTCAGGCTTTTTAAGTTTCATTAGCAGTAGTCAGGTTATATTTTTACGGAATGGGATTGCTAGCCTCACGCTCAACCTACAGGCTAGTAAACCAAGTTAAGAATGAGTTCGCCGGGAATCAGAACCGAACCTCCTACATGGCTGGCTATCATTCTCACCACTGAATCACCAACTAACAGTTCACCAAGTAGCTAGACGAAATTCCGGTGGTTTGAGCTGTAATAATCCACGGACACAAATGAGTGAAATGATCACCTAGTGTTATGATCACTTCTGCTTGACATACAAGCATTAGTGTTTCACTTGAGCTGACTCAGCAGTATACATCATCTATTTCTTATTAACTTATGTGAGTCGGTAGTTCAGTGGCAGAGCACTCGCCCACCACAAATACACACACACAGTTCGGGTTTGATCCTCACTTCAAAACCCTACTAAGCTGGTAGAAAGGCCGGTAAAGCGGAGAGGTTAAGCGTGAAGCCAGTAAACCCACTGGTACTGCAACTTCAGAGCTCTAGCTTGGAGCCGTATGTTCTACTCAGAACTTCGGGGAGATAATAATAAGCAAAAGAGTGACAAAATATAAATAATATCACAGTATTCTACAAACTTCACTGTTCCAATGTTTTCTAAACTCGTAAACATAACTAAACCATTTAAAATCAAATAATTATTCATCAAAAATGACAAATTTGTGAAGATTTTGAACAAACCAAAGTTAGTAGATAATGGTTTATTCACGTGGAATATTGCTAAGGCTTATGGTAAACTTACTCATCAATCAGCTGGCTATCTAAATATACACCCAGGCCATTTATAGAATGGCTAGAAATCTTAACCTCAATTTTTATAAACTATGCGCCTACTTGGTCTTTCAATTATTCTGATATATCAAGTGAGTTATTGAATGAAATTATTCTTAACGCTGAATAAATCCGCCATTGAAGATGAATCCTTATCTTAACCTATTACACGTTACCTATTTGGATTCGATGTTTGAATTCCAGTCACACACACATGTAACAATGAAAGCCATACGGTCTCTTGCTTCTCTTACCGCAGACAATTGTAAAACACAACACAATTAACTCTACTACAAACTTCATTCATTGTGTGATGAATAGGGGAATATATGGTTACAGGCAACCGGTCACAGGAAGCCCAGCTGGACCTAGGTTTCTTGCTAGTTGGCACTCATCAGTCAGCAAGGCGTATCTGCAACTACCTCGAAGGAACTCATGTTTCTTCGGGGATTCAAACCCGCGTCACCCAGTGCTCAGTGCAGTCAGAGACCTTAATACTGACTTAGCTATTCAGGCTCGCTATTGACCTCCTGTAGGACTGACTGTATTGGATATTGATGGCAAGCCACCTAGTGGCATGGTGGCCACATTGACTGATAGAATTCAGTCTGTATCAAAGATAGGACTATACACGTTACACTAGTTACTGACTTGTGTGTTCAATCAAGAATAGGGAAATAATTGAAACAATCAAAAATCAAATCAACTAATCATTAATTTACATTGAAAATGGAATTATTCATTATTCAATGAAAACATGCAAATTATTACCAATGAAAATGTAAGAAAAAATATGACAAACTAATTACTGAACATTGAATCGTGTTTATTCAACAGAAATATATAAAATGAAAGTTTCTAAATGAATCAGGTTTTTTTTATTCTGTTTTACTCATTTATTCAACTGAATTAACAAAAGAAGAGTTGAGTTGTATTGCTTAGAATTAAGATTGGAAATTATTTATTTGATGTTCTCCAAGCTTTCACATTCGATCATGATCATGATCACAAAGTGATCTGTGTGTCCTACGCTTTATGTTGTGAACATTCATGCAGGGGAAAGAATAGGTACATATATAGGGTAGAAGGAGGCTTCCAGACCAGAGAAGTCCCCGCATGTTTCCCTGACATAAAGAAGCGCAGACTGAGGTCAACGAGTTTTGAAATATAGAAGCAGATGGAGAATGAAGACTTTGATGTGGTTGTGTTCTCTGTGCGGGATAGTCAATTCGCGAAGCTTTCATTGCCGCCTAATAGGCGACATATTCAGCGCACACTTCAATTTGTTGAAGAGAGCTTTTAGATTTCTCCACGAGTTTTTTAATCATCTCTCCTAGTGGGTGACCTTGGATGTGATTGGTTGTTTTTGTGTGTTTTAACACCTTCTAATCTACTTCTTTGCCTTGAACTTTGACCCTTTGTGTGTGAGGTTTCTTTATTATTGGTTGACGTTTAGCTTATGCTCGTGGATACGAAGACGAAGGCGACATCTACTTTGGCCAATGTAATGTTTTTTGCGGTTGTTACAGTTTATTTTGTAGATGATGTTGGTTTCATCCAGTGAATCATCGATCAATAGACACATCGAGATAAAACCAACATCATCTAAAAAACAAATTGTAACAACTGCGAAAGACACTACATTGGCCAAAATGGACGTCCTCTTCGTCTTCGTATCCACGATCATAAGCTAGCCGTCAACCAATAACAAAGAAACCTCACACACACAAAAGGTCAAAGTTCAAGTCAAAGAAACAAGAAGTTCCAATACAAGTAGACTAGAGAGTGTGAAAACACAACAAAACAACCAATCATATCCAAGGCCACCCACCAGCACAGATGATTAATAAACTCGTGGAGAAATCTAAAAGCTCTCTTCAACAAATTAAAGTATGCGCTGAAGATTTTGCCTGGTGTTGGGGCAATGAAAGCTTCGCAAATTAACTATCCAGCTAGCTCAGAGAACACAACCACATCAAAATCATCCACCACCTGAGCTACAAATCTTCTCCATCATATCTAGAATGAAGACTGGAGAACATCAAAATAATTTCCATGAATTTTTTTCTTTCTCATTATTTGATTTCATCTTAACACAACTAAAAGAGGTTGGTTTGTTTGAAAAACAAAATAATAATAATGGTAGAGGTGATAATGATGATGATGATAATGATGAGATAACTAGAACATAAAGATGCGCATAGTATTACTTCTGTTCAGCGTTCTTGGTGTTGTTGGTGGTGTCCTTGTTGTTGTGAAGTCTGCAGTAGTCATTGTACGACTACATCTTGTGAATAATTCTGTAAATGATGCTGGAAAACTGAAATGATGGGTAAAGAATTGGTAAACAGATGTCAAGTAAATAGATGATAGATGGATATCTGTTTTCTCTTGATGGAATAAAGTAAAAGTATAGATTAGTAATAAGAAATTGAGGCGAATTGTGTCAATCAGTGCTGCAATCGGAAGCCATAGCAACAAATTAGCAGTGTGTGAAGCTGGGTAGTATACGCAGATTGGCCTTCCGAAGAAAACTAGTCACATTCAAACTGTCGATCACCCACACGTATTGTGCTACAGTTGATTATGCGATCTAGTTCCTCAGGCTAAGATAGGTGGAATGGGATTCAAACCCAGAATATATTGACTGAAAATCGATCGCTTCAGACAATGATCCACATTTGTCTACTTCAGTTAGTCATCTTTTAAGTTTCCATGTGAAAATTGTTATTTAGCTTAGCTTAGTCTCAACACCTTGAGCTGCAATCTACGAATGTTTGGCATGAGATTCGCTCCCGCCAAATGTAAGATGATGCTACAGGACTGGACTACATTGACTGATTCCTAGCTTAGAAATAGGGAGTGAAGTGGTAGAGCGCGTTGACCACTTCGCTTATTTTGGGAAGTTGCATCAGCCAACGATACCGGGTTGATCGCTGACGAAATCTCGGCACGGATACAGATGGCTAGTTCCACATATGCCAGTTTACGCCGTCTCTGGAGTAGACGTGATATCCGGTTATCAACCAAAGGACGTGTGTACTACTTAGCAGTCCACTCCGTCCTCCTTTATGACTGTGAGACCTGGTCATTGAAAGTGGAAGATATCAAAATGCTGGCTAGCTGTCTTTGATCACAGGTGCCTGTATTCTATCTCCTGTGTTAAGTGGTAGGTATAATAGGGTGAACAATATTCAGATTAGGCTTCGAGTGCTAGGTAAGGAGGGGAAATCAATAGACGAGGATGTGAAGTTGCATCGACTGAGATGGTTAGGACATGTGTTACGCATGCCTGCCTAGCCATCACCTTCCTGGATGGGCAATGTTAGCTCACATTTTATATTTTTATATTTTGATTTACAGCTTGATTCCACACCGTATTTTCAGTACAAGTGTGGAATTTTCAGCATGGATGTCGGTAGCCCTAATTCAGGCCGACCACAGATATCGGGTGTGCGCCGGCAGGGGACCGAACCCCGGACCATGTGCATGGTCGGCGAGAGTCCTAACCACTATGCCACCGACATAGGATCAGGTTGTAAAAGAGCCGGCCAGTGGTGGTCAAACCAAAACACGGCTTCATCAGTCAGTGAAATCCACAACAGTTAGTTTAAACTAGCCATGTACGGAGGTGTAGACTTCCTATTTGGAGTCTTCAAGATGGTAAGAACCAATGGCCGTGAGTGGGCAGATACGATTCGCAGATATATGGCCTGGCCTTCAAAGAAATGGCCACAAAGAGATGACAGAATAACCTTTAACAGGAAAAAAACCAATCAGAAGACGTTACACCTCTGTGCTAACAATAACGAATAATAATGTATATAAAAATCTATAAATATCTGTTGATTTTCTCAATAAACGAGCTGTTGCCCGGCTCTTGTCTTCTGTCGTTACACTAAAACCACTACCATGATGAACGGAAATATGAGTTCCAATAAATATAGTTAGTACAAAATCACTTTTTTGCAAAAAAAATAATAAAACGAAAAATCCCAAGAAAAACAAACCACATTATAAAGTTAAAGAAGTTGAATAATAATAAACTCAATCTACTCACCTACAAAAATGACATAAACAATCAGTACAATTTTTATCAAATGGTCTACGTAATCCACTACTTGTATAAATGAATTCTTTTGATGTACTCAGTAAGCATCGACCAGGACGTATGCATACAAAGTAGACTGTAAGACCACAAGCTGGCAGAATTACAAAGAATAGAATACATATGATCACCAATAATGTATTATCCTTGATATCTACACATGGAGAAAAAAAAGAAAGAAAAGTAATAACGAAAATATGAGATAATCAGTAAGAAAATAAATTGAACGGAAAGAAAATAGTAAATGGATAGTGTAAACAATAGTGTAGTTTAAGGATCTCATCGTGAACTGACGTCGGTTAGAGGACTATTGGAAAGCCTGCAGGGAATACTGGACGGCTGTTTCGTCAGCCCATTTTGGGACTCCTCAGCAGTACGCACTCAACCATCCAGGGTTCGAACCAGGACATTCTGGTTACAAGGCGAGCTAGATGGTAGACCATTAAGCCACTGGGACCCGATCCAATGACCAGTCCATGAATTCTGACTTCTGTCAATTCGCGATATGGCGCAACCCCACTAGCGAATGTCATCGGTGGCGAGTATTTATCCTCACACCCTACCTCCTGTACCCTACTGACCACGACTTCCCCCTAGAACCCAGGTAACTATCTACCTGAATAGGACCAGTCACTAGTGAGCATCGGATTGATATCCAAGTGTTGGTTTTCAGGCATTTGATTGGTTTCAGGATGAAATCTTGAGATGACTAAGTGATTATTAGTTATTAGCATGCGCATTTCCAAGTTCCCTGTTGGAAAGTATGATGATTACACAAGAGACTCAAAAGGTTTACATATAAATGATTGAACTAGTGCCACATAGTGACCAGACCACGCATAGCTTTTTCTAGGTGGCAAACATAAGGAATAGCGACCAGGGAATGAGAATGCACCACTGACCCTGAGATGATCAATAGGTTAAAGCCGTGATTTTCGCATGGAAAAGGCGTTTATTTATGAGGAGAATACACATAATAATAATAATGAAACACATTAAAAACGACATCTTACCTTGACGCAACTCAAAAAAAACTCCCCAATTACAATGAGGGGTACCAGTTTTCAAGTTTCATAGGTATCGAGACAGTTTCGTCTATATGAACAACGATCCCCTTAACTCACATTTATATTTTTACAAGAAAAATACAAACAGTAACCATGAAACACCTTAAGCCTTATCTTACCCCTAATCCCAACTCCTAAACGCAGTCCTTATCATAGCCCTAACCCTAATGTGCTATCAAACCATCGTCCAAAACGGCACTTAAAAACGATATTAGGATCAAACTTTGCAGCACAGTATTCATACTCGCGTTGTAATAACAACAGGTTCTGAAATCCAGTGAACGGTATGCGTTCAACGTCATTGGTGCGTTTGCACCCCATGGTTGCTTTTCTTCCTTAAGTTGGCCTTTTAACCTAAACTAGTTCCAGACTAAATTGTACAGAACATATTACACATACTTTGAGATAATAAAGATTTGCCAGCTGCTCGACTGACTTGAAACACTATATCTGATGCAAGCATTGCGCTCACTCTATGATTTCAATATTACATGGATGCTTTTTATGATTCTACCTTATGGTAAACTTCTTCACGAAGCAATCAAGAGTAGATAGAAAACCATTCAAAATCAGACAGATTCGAATAGCTGTTTCCTGTGCAGCAACAAGAGATGGAACTCAGGATCTTTAGGCTGCACGACTTGTAGGTAAAGCAAACTCACAACTAAAAGCCTGGAGACCTCTTTAACTATCGATGAAACGGGGAGAATTTCTTGAGGAATTGCAATTGAAACAGTGTGCTCTCAGAATTATATTTCCTTTACATTATTTCATCATTTATTTGGAGTGTAGAAAGACAAGGAATGTTACTCAACCATAGCTTGCACTGACATACGGTAAGCAATAAGATACACTTATTTTACGAAAGCTGATGACACAACCTCGCTGACCAGGGTTCAAATAAGTGACCCAAAACCAAGGACGCTGAATTCTAAATTGATCCATTTCTAAACTAGGAGTTTGGTGCAGATTAGTACCATAAATATTATCATGTTAAATTTCATACTTTTTGGCTAACTACGGATAATTCTAATTGTGAAATCCTTCTCACCTAACTGAGTGAAACATAATAATGGGTCACTTCCCGTCGGCATTTCTTTGCAGTCATACAGAGTGATGAAAAAAAGGCTAATAGAGTGTTAAGCGTATTATAAATACAGCATGAAAAGACCACGTATATAGTATTGTTTTGAAACAAGCATATAAATTGACACAGACATAGGTTTGAGTTAGCTATTAGGAAGGAATATATAGATGTGACTCTACACCATTTGACTTATTATATTATCAAACAAAGGTGAAACAAAATTAACCAATAAGAAGACAGAAGAAGTCGATTCTATATGCTTTGTTGAATATTTTTCAAAATCTGAGCATTTTTTTATTCCTTCACCTTCCCAGTGGAATATAGGACTTCACGCTAGAGGTTTGAAGTTTCGGTAGCAGTGGTACTTACTTTTACGGGATGGAGTTGCTAGACTCATGACAAACTTTCCCTCTTTACCAGGCTTACTATACTTTCTTCTATAAATGGTTGATCCTTTTCACTTTTAGTTGTTTAACAGCCTTATACATGATTCTTGACCAATGTTACTCTTACCTCCAATAAATTACTCCCTGTTATTGTATAAAAAGTATGTTCAGAGGTTTAGTTTAATTTATAATTTTGGTGTTGTTCATGCTGTAACCAGTTGAGAAGAATCCATGAAATAATAAAAGTAAATGAGCTCAGATTATGCTGGTACATTTACCATTTAGAGAACCGTTGAAAACCAGGGAGTACTGGACAGCTGTTTCATTCTGGTTTGGGAATCATCGGCAGTACGCACCCACCGACAGAGTTCGAACCCAGGACCTTTAGATTACAAGAAAAGCTCGAAAATTAATCTGATTCTCGCTAGTGACATGCTACAGGATGGGGTTTCCTGAAGTTCTATTGAGAAGTCGTGACCAGTGAGGTTCAACCAGTCAAGTGTGTGGATGGATGTCCCACTGACAACATTGGTTTGTGGTTGTGCTAAATCACGAATTGGTAGAAGTTAGAATTCATGGGCTAGCCATTGAATCGGGTCCCAGTGGCTGAATGGTATACGAGCCAGCTTTCCTTGTAACCGGAAAGTCCTGGTTTCGAACCCTGGTGGTGGGTACTGCCGATGATTCCGGAACTAGGATGAAACAGCTGTCCAGTACTCCAGCGCTGGCTTTCAATGGTTCCCTATTGATATGAATCCGTGGTCAAACTTGTAAAAACAAATCTAATCCTTACGAACCAACTTTTGAACATTTATCATTCTTGCTGTTTGCTTTTCCCTAAATGAATGAATAAATGTTAAGTAAATCGGTGGTTATTATTTGATGCCTCTGAATTCTAATTTCGTTACAAACCGACACCCGTGAAATAATCATTAAAAATGAGGCAGTTTGAAACTCTTAAGCAATAAACACCAAGTATCTTTAAGTTAAAAGGTGAACAGGCCGCCAACTATTCCTTGAATAGGGATCCAGTGAACCTCTCGGGGGAGGAATCATGGGTGCGTATTAGTGGAGAGTCCGTAACTGTATATATGTAGTGCTCCCCGGTTTTCAGTGGTTCGCCATTTGATGTCATCTGGTGACGAAATATGCTTTGAATAACAGCATACTGCCAAACAACGTATACATTTATGTGAAGATTTTATGATGAATGGTTTTGTCAGTAATTGACAATAAATGTTATTCATCTCATCAATGGGGTAGATACACAATCATTGTAAAAAAAAGTATATTCAATTTACAATTTAGTACTGTTGAGGTTGTAACCAACTGAGAGGAATCCATGAAATAATAAAAGTAAATGGGCTCAGATTATCCGGGAACATTTATCGTTCTTCTTTTATTATTAATGGGAAGAATTTTTGTTTCGTCCTAGATTGGGACTCTTCGGCAGTGCACGCCCATGACCCCACTTGGGGTCGAACCTGGGACCTTCAGGTTACGAAACAAAGCTCATTGATAGCTGAACCAGTTGGGACGGGATTCACTTACCCATACATTCGAACTTCGTCAATTCATTGTGTAGTGCTACCCTTGACCAATGCCTAGGATGAGCGTCCACTTCATCTTGACGTAGTGGACGTCACTAGTCATGAATTATCAGTACAGCTTCAGGACATCAATACAGCAGTCACCAGTGTGCTAGAAAGTGATATTTAGATCTACGCTGACACTAATCTAATTCCATACAAAAATCCATAATCTAAATATAGTCAATTAAATTAAAGTTATCCTACATGATCTAATCGACCATAAAACAATTAGTAAGTTTATACGTTATCCGACAACTTATGCTCTTAATTATAGCAAGTAATAAGTTGTACTTGAAAAGTAATTATTCTGTATACAAGACTCATTGATTTTACGCAATTATGAACACAAAACAGAGACATAATTACAACAGCACTTAATTCCTATTTAAATATATCATTATTTAAGTGTACTACTTATAGGCTGTATAAGTAGCCATGTAATAATGAACGACATACTTCATTAAAAAAATAAGTGCTTCAACATGCAAATAAAACACAGGTGAATACAACAGAACATTGTGTTTACATTGATTGAAAACAGTTCAACTAATACTGTGTAAATTTGGAACGCCACTGTGGTAAACTAAGAGTATTTTGATTAGACCCTGGGAAGAAGTAACTAATGGTAAGCGCACAGTACTTTGCGTGCTGCAGACTGAACTCTGTCAGTCAAGTGTGCAGTGTGGCCACCGTGTTGGGTGGCTCGCTATCGCTGGTAGAATTCAGTCTGTATTCAGTGTCTAATCAAAGTATCAATTACAATCTTACAGAGGATCAAACACCAACCAGAATAGCTCAGTGGTAACGTCTTTGACTGCTGCCCTGGGTGACCCGGATTCGAATTTCAAGACGGACATGAATTCCTTCAACATTACAGACACAAAACCTAGCTTCAAGTCATCCTACCGAATGCTTTCAACCATATAAGAACTTAAACTACGTTATAACAAGGAAAAACATTATTGACCATTACTTTGCCGCCATGTGAGGAAGTATGAGGTATACAGTTTTCGTGTTTCCAA